TGTTCGAGGGGGGGCCGAGTGCTTGCTTGTGCATGTGGTCCAGTTGCAGAAACGGTGTCGAAGATTCGGCATTTACTCAGACCATGCCACAAGCGAAGGCGAGTTCTTGGGATTCGACTACAGACCCTTTCGTCGTCCCTGCGAGCAGCAGTGTTGACCGCTGCCCTCCGTGACTCATCTGGCGAGGGGGAAGCTGTTATGACCGGCGTCAGCAGGCGCCATGCTGTCGCTGAGAAGCGTAGCCGGGCCGCGTTCCCACGCCTGGAACTCCAGTATTCTCGGAACCAGCGTCGAGAGATGACGGGGGAGCGGCGCTCTTTTAATCTTCAAACAAGTAGCCGGCTCGCCGAATGCCTATGCCCGCCAGGCATTGTCCCTGCTAGCCAGCGGATGAGACGTCACGTCGCCACGAAGCGGTAAGCCGTTCCAGAGGGGACAACAAAGACAGCGTCTTCCTTTGTAGAAACGGCGACCGCCGCCACAAGTGTCCTGCTAATTGAGCAGACAGATTGGCGGACCATTTGATGTCTGCTGTCCGAAGCTTGGGACCCCTCGACCAGTGACACACACGACGAGCAAGAGCCCCTCTGGCGCCACCTTTAAGTGCAGTGATCTTGACTCGAAATTGGCTGTTCACGTGCGCCGTGCCTGCTCGTACCCCTCACCTGTTGTGTGTGTATGTGATTGGTGTTCCACTGAAGAAGGAGGAGCCCGACAGGGCTTATAACGGCGCCGCAGAGTGCAGGACGTCGCTCTGGACCCAGTAAAGGTTCAACCACCACGTACGAGTTTGTGATAGCTCTGGACCAAGTAAAGGTTCAACCACCACGTTCGTGGTTTGCGAACTCCTAACCTTTCATGCTGTAAATATTTGTAAATAGTGCCATAAACCCTGTTTGTTTTTCGTATCCCCATCTTGTAAGCGTTCGTTTCCTCAACCCGAAGCTACACCACGCTACCTACAGCACCCCGAGCCACAACAACTGGTGATCAGCGCCGGGATCACAACAACTGGTGATCGGAGGTGGGATCACGACAACTGGTTGGCATCGGTGGGATACGACTCAGCACCCCGAGTTACGACAGCACATGCACGAGCATGGCAGGTGCGGCGCCAGGAGTTTTGAGACGATAGTCTTTCCTAGGTGTTTAGAACAAATGTTCGACGATTTAGAATACAAGGTACTTTACTATGGGAGAGGAATGAGCAGCCCCATTTCGAAAAAAAAACAATTGAAAAATTTTGGACTGTTGGTCGACTTGTCGGTGTATCACCCGGAACGGCCAAAATCAAACCACATCCGCAGCACCCACGAATACTGATCTGGTTTCGGCGTTCATACTTGTGCGTATTTTCAATTAAAAGGAAATACTGCACGTACCTGAGACACAAACTGAACCCGTCCATATACCGGGTGTTCAAAATTAAGCTTTATGATTTTTTTAAAATTAGGCGCTCGAAGGCACGTGAGAACCACTTGTGCAAATAAGTTAAGCGGCCAGGGGGACAGAAAGTTAGATGATAATTATCGCTGTCAGCAGCCCAATTAACTAAAATTTAATAATTAACTTTTTACTGGCTGCGGTAAGTTGGCATGTTTATATTGAAAAAATGTAGGCAGTGGTGTTTGTACACAGTTTCAGTTGGAAGATTTTTTCTAGCACGCCTGTGTTCCGAGATATCCGGCTCCAAAGTTTAATTGTCTTTCGCACGATTACGCATGCAAGAGGGTGAGGGTCCGCGCAAAGCTCCTCCCTAAAGTGACGCATCTGTTGCGTGTGGTGTTTAGTGTGTGAAGAGGGTGGAAGCGTAGGCATAGGTGATAGCAATTACCCTTGCCCTCTTCGGCCGTCGAAATCAAAAATCGAAGAACGCTTGCAACCAGTGTCGTAACACGCAACTGCAGAGCCTCTAACGATAGTGGCAGATACCATGCCGAGATAATGGTGCGAGCGGAGAATCTGGATGCCAGTGCGCGTGCGTAATAATCACTAGAGAAGCATGCGTGGTCGTTGCCTGGGCTACGCGAATAGCGTGACTGCTGATGTCCGAGTACTGTAACTTTTATTGAAACAAGAGCAACAACTCCACCAATAATAACTGAAACAGTTTTATCCTTGCTAACGCATATTTCCTGCTGCTACATAAGCATATTTCGGTCATGCACAAATCTCATCGAAACTCTTCACCTCTCAAGACGTCAATGCCCCAAAAAGTGTTCAAAATGCCTGCCTTCGGCAGCAACGCAAAGCATGAACCGCTGTCGCGTCGACTCGATGACTCGGCGCAGTACTTCTGCAGGAATACTCGCACAGGCAGATGTTATCCTGTCCTTCATGTCATTAACATCGCTGGGCTCTGTTACGTAAACTCGATCTTTAACGTAGCCCCAAAGGAAAAAGTCGAGCGGAGAAAGGTCAGGTGATCTTGGTGGCCAAAACATCGCTCCTGCGCGCCCAATCCACTGTTGTGGAAAACGTCTGTCCAACCAGTTCTTCGCCCTGGTAGAAAAATGTGGTGGTGCTCCATCGTGCTGAAACCATACTTGGCGCAGGTCATTCAGGGAAAGACTGCAGACAAGATCATCAATGACAACACCTAATATTTCTTCTGTGTACATCTTTCCGTTCAAGTTGTCCTCAAAAAAGTGAGGTCCGATGATCCTGTCCCCGAGTATGCCGCACCACACATTCACACTCCAGCGAACTTGATGCTTGTGCTGCCTCAGCCAGTGTGGGTTTTCTTGTGCCCAATAATGGGCGTTGTGAAGATTAACACTTCCATTTCGGCAAAACCGAGCTTCATCAGTCCAAATTATTCTGTGCAAAAAGTCATTTTCTTGATCAGTTTTGATGAGGCCCCAATTGCAGAAGTCAACTCGCCTTTCAAAGTCCGCCTCATTTAGGTCCTGATGAAGGTAAACGTGATATGGATGGAACTTGTGCTTTCTTAAAACATTTGTGACTGTTCCGATGCTGCGACCGCACTGATCGGCAATCTGTCGGATGCTGAGCTCTGGCATCGAGGTTACGCACGCGACAACGTCGATTTCAAAGTCTTCATCGACGATTGCCTTCCTGGTCCGTCTCGGAAGGTGGACAGAGCCTGTTGTGCAGAAGCGTCGAAACAGGTTTGTGAAAGTGGGCCTTGTTGGAAGGGGACGGTGTGGGTGGCGAGACGCGTAAAGCTCCATTGCTAACGAAGCGTTGCCATTCATTTCAGCCATTGCAAGCACCACGTCTACTTTTACTTTGGTAGAATACCTCACGCCAGAAGCAGCCATATTAGCTCGAAAGGACTCCACGTGGATTTCCTTGGTAGACCTTCAATGCAGAGACGCTGTGCTCTAACCGGAGGCACCCTAGTGCAGGACGGTCCTGCTAACGCGTTCACAAGAAGATGTCTCAGTGTGATCTAAAGTCACGAAAAAACGTCGCGAAAAATGGTCTCCTGTTATCGCGTTCATCAGGATCATGCGTAAGGCTCATGGCGCACCGCGCTGTCACATTTTGATTTCGCCGGCCGAAGAGGGCAAGGGTAATTGCTATCACCTATGCCTACGCTTCCACCCTCTTCACACACTAAACACCACACGCAACAGATGCGTCACTTTAGGGAGGAGCTTTGCGCGGACCCTCACCCTCTTGCATGCGTAATCGTGCGAAAGACAATTAAACTTTGGAGCCGGATATCTCGGAACACAGGCGTGCTAGAAAAAATCTTCCAACTGAAACTGTGTACAAACACCACTGCCTACATTTTTTCAATATAAACATGCCAACTTACCGCAGCCAGTAAAAAGTTAATTATTAAATTTTAGTTAATTGGGCTGCTGACAGCGATAATTATCATCTAACTTTCTGTCCCCCTGGCCGCTTAACTTATTTGCACAAGTGGTTCTCACGTGCCTTCGAGCGCCTAATTTTAAAAAAATCATAAAGCTTAATTTTGAACACCCGGTATATGTGGAGTGTTCTTTTGTAACATAAAGGGATACATAATGAATTCTAAATATAACGTTGCGTTTATTACGCTGCGCTCACAATGCAACGCAATGCACGAAACGGCGGGTGTGTCCTGCGCTTTGCAAAGACGGTATACGGTGGTGGCCCTCACCCATCCGTTGCCTTGCATTCTACAAATTATGGCATCCAAGAAGGCGCGCACACACTATATCGGAAGCCATCCTTTTGTTTTTCCAAGATTATTGACAGATGGCACTCATGTCTCACGCAGCACCTCCAGAATCCCATTCACCAATTTTCTCGCGCAGAACATTATATAAACGTTTTATTTATTCCCTTCATACAGACGAAAGTTCAACATTTGCAGCGAAACACGCAGATGCAGGGTCAATTTTTTTTTTCTGGAGGGAGGGGAGGAGGGAGGGAGGCACAGAACTTATGTGTTGTTTTGGGGATCTTGGATAAGCTCCAGCTCACCCATGCCCCCCCCCCCCCCCTTGGTGCATAGACAGACGTGCATGCGCTGACATAACAATTTCGCGCTAAATTTTCATGGGACGAGCTGTGCAATCAAGCAGAATAATTTAAAATAAGCGGCTGGTACTTTTCGTATTACGTCCATGTGTGTGCGAAACAAACCTGCCATATGTCAACTTATCAGTATTTTATGATAACGCACCTTAGCTGGGAATTTAGTGGTTGTGAAGATCAGGTGCACAGGATATTGTCCTCCCAACATACATACCTGCCGATCCACGTTTCAATAGCGCCAACCATTTTGTAGTATATATGGCTGTGGCGCAACATGCCTATTTTTGTACGTTTCGACTATCAACATTTTTTTTTTTTACAGTTTAGGCAATATCGTCATTTTAAGGTTTAAATTTACCTAAGCTGAATGAGCCAAAACCACAATTATAACTCTTGCTCTGCGACTGACACCTAAGTAAGTGCACAAGGCAAATATGGCACCACTGTTATGCGCCCGCCGGTCAAATACTGAAATAAAGAGAACTATAAAGAATGAACCATACCTCGTGCCATTTTCCATGGTTGTGAAACTGGGGCGAGGGTGTCGCCACATATGGAAGCCGACCAAACGCTTCATTATCTCTCGGCATATCATTCTCGGACTAAAAGAAGCCGAGCAACACAAAGTGCAGCCCGAGGTCAATGTTGAAAAAATATCACGCTCAGTTGTAGAGCACGGTATGCACCTTCTGTATGCGGTACTAACCATAGGCTCCCACCACGCTACGATCGCCTGTTCGGGCGTATACTCTTGCACGTATTACGCTTCTTCCACGAAATAGGTGGAAACAGAACACGGATGTCGACGGCCCGTTCTCATCCTCTCGCCGCGTCCGCTTTCCGTCTCGATCCGATACGGCGCTTCCATGTATCACTTCGCGCGGCAAGTCACGAAAGCAACGAGCACTGCAGGTGACGGCGGAATCGTTCGGAGGCTACATAGCTGCCTCGTATGTAGTACTACTAGACGCGAAATGGTGGCATTTTTCTCGCATCCCGTGGGCTTGACATACGAAGGCTTGTGCATGTCAAATAGGCAGCCTGAAGATGATGCTACATCGGAATAAACATTGTCAGATTAGGTCCTAAATGCGCCTGCGCGTCGTGTCAACTTACCTAGCAATGTTTCCAGACGTTGAATGTTGTACTACATGCCTGGTGGCGCTTGTGCGGCGTACGGATATTTTGGGCTCAAGAAAAAACTTTCGTTGGTAGTTTGCGCTCCGACTGTCGCCGTTCTTCCTTTAGTCGCTGTTGTGTCTGTGGAATTCAACACTGTGAATATAGATGAGGTTTTACGTACCGAAACCACGATATGCACGCTTACAAAGCACGCATTCCCTAGTGGAGGGCTTCAGAAATTTTGATTATATGTTTTTTTTTTATGTGCACTGATATCGCACTGAACACGGGCGTCTAACATGTCGCCTTCATTGAAATGCGACCATCGCGGCCGTGATCAACCCCGCATCCTTCTGGTCAGCAGCCGATCGTCATAACCACTGTACCGCCGGGGCGAAGATGCAGTGGGTGTTGGTGTACTCGGTCTTGCATTCGTCATCAGCATGACTACGTCCACTGCAGGACAAAGGCCTCTCCCATGTTCCGCCAATTAACCCGGTCCTGTGCTTGCGGCTGCCAATTTTATACCCGCAAACACCTTTAATCTCATCTGTCCACCTAACCTTCTGTCTCCCCTAACTCGCTTGCCTTCTCTGGGAACCCAGTGAGTTACGCTTAATGACCAGCGGTTATCCTGCCTACGCGCTACATGCCCGGCCCATGCCCGTAGTCTGAATGTCTTGCATTCGGACTACGTTAGCTTAGCGTGAAGAGACGGACAGGCGAGGGAAAGAAGCGAATACGAAAAAATAAACGATAATTTTGTTGCAACGCTGTATCTTACATGCCCACATAGCACCATATAGTAAGCAAATAACAAGCTATATATTTTTATATTTGTACAATGCACTTGACAAACTCCGCAAAAATTGTCTGATAAACAAATATTGTGCCTAATCACGAATAAGGATGCCCTGTTCTCTGTTTTTTTTTTCAACTATCGCTCCCGTCTCATCTCTAATGCCGAAAAGCACCAAGAATAAATTTAACTCATGACGTCATAAATTTGTGACGTCACAAATAGTTGGTGCAAGAACCTGAAGGGGGCTTTGCCACTTAACCTTTGTTCTCGCGCCTTCTTTATCGCTTGAAAAAAATGATGTGTTGCACAAACTTGAAGGAAAACAAGAGAGACAGGAAAGAGTGCAGTGCCCTCATTCCTGCGCTCTTTCCTGTCTCCCTTGTTTTCCTTCAAGTTTGTGCAGCACATCATTTTTTCAAGTATGAACCAACTAGTCTGCAAAAAAGTATTGCTTCTTTATCACGTTTTGCTTTTTTATTGAAAAATGTTAATCACTAATAGTAATGATGACATCATTTTATTATGAAAATTCAAAGAAACCGGGGAAGGTCCCTATTCCAGGACTTCTATGGTAACATCTGCGACAGTCCAGGCCCTGAGAGTGAGGGCCCGGCAGACCTCGGGGGCGCCATCGCGAAGGGTGTCTTTCCACTGCTCTGTGGTACGGGTGGAGATAAGGATTGGAGCAATGGGGAGGGAAGTAATACCGCGAAGTCACACAACATCACGTACGCCAACGACAACAATACCAACTCCCACCGGACTCCTTCACGCGCGAGGAGGCTGCCGCACTTCGCCAACTGCAGACCCCGAACTTTCCCGAACCTCCACACGTGTTCCGTACCTCCACTTCGTGCATTAAATATACCCGACTCGTTATACTGATGCTTGTTCAGGCTGCGGCGCTATCCCCACAACTTTTCACATTGCCGTAATTACTAATACTGTTGACTTTTGTTTTTTTTTCTCCAGTGCCTGTGACTCGAGGCGCTCTCAAATAACGGCGGTACTCGGCGTCCCATCAGAGTGCAGCCGCAAATCGAACCCGAGATCTTGTTCTCAGGGACACAGCACTTAAGCCACCGCCGTGTGTTTGAACTGTGCTGCGTCGCCGTAAATCCGGCACCAACGCCGCAACTCGACCTAATACAATACAAAAACGAAAATTCAGCGATAGGCAGACGCGCCAGAATCAACGAGAGCGCTGCTTGGCGCGAAGTGGAAACGACCTCCGATGAATGTTGAGCATATTATAGAGGGGAGCGGGGGGCAGGAACTTTACATTCAACGATAGGGAATCTCGTTTGGGTGGTTTATGCTATATACTGCGACTGTACCAACACGACTAAGAAAGGATAGCTTTATCTCCAGTCAAGGCAGATAACTTGATGTACTATTACGGCCTAGTGGGCAGAAGGAATTGAATCGTGGGTGCGGTAGCTTCACGTAAAACTGCAGTGGGAGGAAGATGCTGCTGTCGTGAAGCACGAAAATTGCCTGGGTGTCGAGTCAACCTGGGTGAAAACGTCACACGAAAATACCTGGGCGAAAATGTCAAACGTGAAAGGCAAGCAGCAAACAAGGCACAGCGGCGTCAGCGGCCAGCGCAAATGTATTTCATAAAAAAGATGATATACGGTACACAAAAACACGGAACAAGCCGCAAAGAGAGACGTACAACAGCGCTCGTTTACGCCAGCTGAATGGCGTCAATGATGAGATAACAATACCAACAATGACACGCACGTAATTTACGACCGTTCCCCCATATAACATAAAATTGTAATTGAAATGTCCGTAAAAAAGAAAAAAAAATGCACCAAGAAAGGCACCAGGAACCGCATATGAGGGACACCGAAAATATTTGATGCCACAAATGAGTGAATCAAAAAAAGACAGTGCTCATTCCCTGAGGCATACAACACTCAGCCATTGATTTACTGGCTTCAAAGAGCACTGATGTTGCAATGCACAAAAGTATGAAAAGAAACAGAATACACTGTTGGTTCCAAGAAAATGAGGCGACCATTTTCAAAGCGTTCAGCAGGCATGCAAGTCCTCGCTGAAAAATAAACCACCTGTAAAGGCTAAAAATCAAAACACTAAACTCCACACTTAATTTATGTTTGTTCATAAAACAGCATAAACTTGAACACAAACATTTTAAAGTGTCACGTTAATAGCAGCATCGTAAGCTTGAAGTTACTCAACGTTAAACCGTCTAAGCTTCCCGTGATAGCCGCACAGCCAAATACATTTGAATCACAGTCTATCACCGTACAGGCATCACACTCAACAGGTTATTAGTGATAAGCATGTAAGTACGTTTTAAAAGCGAAATTACATTGCCAGAACATAAGCAACAACTATGTATACGTAACATACGCATAACAAGGGTGATAAAAAAAAAGCAAAACGTACCAGTAACATAAGCAGTCAAGTTTGAGTACTTTGTTTAGAGGCTGGTCTTCCCCTTTGTCAAAAATTAAGAAGTGATTTATATGCAACAGGCAATGAAATCATGATGGCTTCCTAACCTTGCAACAAACAATCCTTATGATTTACAGTAAACACTACAGCAACACATCACCATATTGCAGCAGTTAACTCGTTCCTATAACACATCTTGACAGATTTAAAATCGGCTACGTAAACAGAGTGCTCATCAAAGACAAATATACACTATTCAAAACAGACATGGACAACAACATTCGAGTGCAAACAAATTTGTTCCATTGTAACAAGGGAATAGGCCCAACTTTTCCAGAACGATTTCAACCACGATTGCATGGTGCATTATCTGCCTCTTCATATTGAAAGCACCCGCAGGAATGATTGAAATCTTGAATCACTTGAAACAGTAGAACTGACACTATATTTCGGCTTAATGTTATCCGAGAGCGCTAACAACGCCTGTTTATTGTTGAAATTTAGGATGTGGTCCCAGACAAGTACATAGAATGACTACCGTCGCGTACGGCTAAGTAAAAATAAATAAGTAAAGAAGGAATGCGCGTGTTTCCTTAATACAAAGAACACGCACCAAAGAATTAGGTTCAGCTCTTCCAGAAGTTATCTGTTGTGCTGTTATATGAATTTTACGGGCAGTGCAAATGTCAAACCTTTATCGGAAAGCTAGGATATATTGAAAACAAGCCTAGAAATCAATGGCTGTACTGCTGTGATGATTCTGTACCACCCAAAAAAATCTTGTGCAACGCTCTTTGCACTTATCTTTTTATACCAGTAACTATGATATACTAAAATAACTTCCCTCTGGTCATGCTAGCAAGAAGCTGATTGACCCACCATCTAGATGCCATGTCTGAAGGCAAAAATGAGATGTGCACTCATTTTGACCCACTTCTAATCAAATTGTGGCATTTATGTTCACAACTTATTTGGCACTATGACTGGGCAAACATCACTACAACATGTATGTATACAGTGAAAGGCATCTTCTAGCCATGACTTCATTAAAGGAAGGAATTACAGTAGTATAAAGCCACAATTATACTTCATGTTCCACTGTGTTCAAAATAGGTCGAGCATTCCATATCATAGCTTTCCTGTAGAATTGCAGAGGCTTTTCAAAAAGTTGTATAGGCAGTGACACCAAGTCCCTCCCTAGGTGTAACAAAACACTTTACACTTTTGCGAGTCTACATGTACATTGCGATGGTTTAACGATGCAAATGTGTGACTTCTCACCTTGATGTACTACTGCTAATTTTGTATCCTATATGGGCCACCCCTGAGCGTTCGGAGGAGTTACAAGTGCCCATAGTTGTACAAAAAGCAAAAATAAATGCATGTAGTTTTTTTTTTTTTTCTTTTCAAGATGCAGGTGTGCTTTTTCAAATTATTTGTGGTTTGCCTGCTCTACGTCCCATACAGCAAACTGAGGGGTTTCAAGACAACTGGTCTTGCTGACGTCCAGATGCAGTTTCCTGTACACTTTGTACTGAAAGTACATCACAATGTAGGAACTCCACTGAGCAATGCTCAAATGAAAAACATGCTCAAGAAAAACTTCTGTTTCGTTTGTGGTCCTCCTCTTGATCCTGAGGTTATTTGAATATCGCAGTGCATTGAAGAGTAAAGGTTAATGATGGTGCTCAGCCGTTAGGCAATTTGTACATAACTGCGAGCATCACAAATAGGGACACAGGTCGAGAAATATAGTCATAATTAATAGGCCATTTTTCTTCCGCATATCTCTCTATTTGCACTTGTCAATGCTTGAATGCATAACAAGTTGTCAGATGAGAGTGCTTGTAGAAGGACATGGTTCAACACGTGAAAGTTCTTGGTGGCAATATTTGCGGGCAGTTTAAAAGGCGATGTAGTCATTGTCAGCATACAACCCCTTATGGATATGCAGCATTCTAAGGATGCCTCCTTTATGACGATTTTCACGCCTGTGTCATGGGGCCTTGCACGTTGAGCACACTCAACGTGCAACGCCCCATGACACAGGCTGTAAACATCATGTGTCACAGGGGCGGAAGAATGGCCTTCAAAAATATCTAACCATAATGCTCTGCCAATAGAAAACTATCACCTCAACACTTAATGACTCAGACAATAACACATTAATTATTGTGTTATGCAGGGCAGTACTAGCTCTATGATCCTTAGGCACGCTTGCAAGGTACAACAAATGACATGTTACTCTGGAATGCTCTACAATATTTTGTGTGGTAGTAGGCAATATTTACATACAGAGGCATGTTACTCACACCTCCCTACAGCTTTCATTGTAGTCTGGCACCAACTATGGTTTATTTTCACTATGTTAAATGAGAAAACATGCACCAGCCCATCATGGCAGTCATTTTCTTCAGACCAACATATAATAATATGAAATTGCGACCGACATAGTTTTAAAATGAAATATTTGAAGCAGGCAACCTCTTCAACGTAAGTCTTCTCGTGGCAATACTTTGCAGAAATGCCCTGTGCTTGCATTTATGCTAGTCTTCTAATCTAATAGTAATGATGGGCTAATATTCTTAATAACTATAGTGGCCAGCCGCTTTGACCACTGACAAAGCGTGAAAAAGCATTTCATCTGAAAAGCCATTAGCAGAAGACAGCCACATCTACACGGTAGGTGTTCCACCTATCAGTGAGAGTAGTTACCAGAGCAAAAACTTGGGCGGCATAACACTGAGCAGCTGCACAAATGCACACACCAAACTTACAAAGCCAATGCACTATTACTTACAGAATTAGTGCTGTTAAGAAACACAATGAGATTCGTACATATTGTGACGCAACAGTCAAGTTGCTCACTATTACATTTGAAATATGCCGAGAGTCACTTTTTTTCCTTCACTTCACTGAGATGATTCGACGAGCAGCAAAGGAGGAAGACCAATCAACAAACGTTTCACACGCTTCGTCAGTCAGTCAGCGCCACCGCCGCTGTCACAACCTCCCCCGCCACTGTCACAACCTGCCCCCCCACTATCGCCACCTCCGCCACTGCTGCAGCCACCTTCACCGCTGTAATGACAGTTACTGTCGTGGCCACCACTGTTGTGGCCTCCGCTGTCACGCTCTCCACTATCATGGCCAATACTCTCGTGGCCACTGTCGGCACCACGGCGGGCTTCTTCGTCACTGCTGGAGTGGCCAATGTCAGAAGACCAACCACCAGGAGGGTAGTACGAGCCGGACCCAACACTACCACGTTTGTTCTTTTTATGCTTTTTGTACTTCACGGGAATCATGTGCTTGTCTGATGAGCGGCAGAAGCGGCAGATGATTCCAAGCAGCACTACCGCGATCACTATCCCGACACCAATGCCGATGCCTGTGATTACATTTACCACCATGGCCTCGTTGTTCGTCTACCTAAAAAAGTGCAACACAAGATAAGGTTAAGAAGGGCATGCTGCAGAAAGAGCACGCAAAATGCTGTGCCCACAGAGAATTGGGCACAGCTATGGTCTGCCAAGTGCATCTATATATTGGCAAACTGGGATGAACATATCTAACATAATGCAACCTTTTAAGTAAGACAAGTAAGGTTATACATAATGCAACATGCTAAGTAAAAAAATATGGTTATCTACAGCTTTCAAAATTTATCACACAAAAATTTGAGTGATCCCATGCACCATAAAAAGGTTCCCACATATGGCTAAGAGAATTGCATCGTTTGCGAAGATGAGCTCACAAGAGTATATAAGCATTTGCTACATTTTATGCGTGTCGTAGGTGCTTTAATATGAAGCTTTTAGAAGTCATTTGGATACAGATAACTCAAGTGTATGCAATATTTTTTTATGCCAGCTCCCCAAGACAATATATTCAAAGAGCACCTGCTTAGGACTAGTTGGGAAGTTGATAAAGAAACTAAGAAACAATTTTGTTTTGATTTTAAAGCTTCAAACTAAAAGATGCCCAAATAGTCTTAAACAGCTTTGTACAAAGTCATACTGGTAAATAGAAGTGCTATGGGCAGAAATTTCACATGAAATTTCAGACTGCGATTCCAAAATTTCTACTCCTCGTTTTTCCCACCAAGAACGAGACCCTCCCAGGCTTTTATCCAAGTCTAAAAAAAAAACGAGACCACACTAATTTAAGTTCTGCTCATGTCCCTCTGAGACTTCTCAGCGACAACCATTTCAGAAACCCCCACACACACCGCCGTCAACCCACACATCAGCAGCACCGGTGCCACCATCACCAACCCCGCCACCACTTCCATCAGCAACACACTGGTCTGCAGATGTCATGTTAATCAGCAGGCCCGTCGCATACATGGCCACTTCAGTGCCATCATTTTGCTCCTCTTTCAGTGACCGATGTGCAGCTATTGCATTGCAATAACAGCATGAGAACATGATTAGAGCGAAGAGAGTGGCAAAGCCAACAAGAATGATGGTTGTACTATCCATGACGATTCACATGCATCCGGTGAGTGAAGTGCACGGACAGCAGAGCAAAGGTGTTCAGTCAGCAGCAGTGCAGTGAAGCGACATGCCACTCTGCAAGCAAAAGGAATAGGCAACACTACAAATATGTCACAGTAAAAGCATGTAATGCACGAGTAGAAAGCTGGTAAATTGCGGTATGCGAGAAGGAAAGCTATTGACTGACTGGTATTAGCTTAAGGAGCACGCCAGAAAATGGGATTCCCTAATTTTTCTTTTTCATAATTTTGAAACTTGCAGGTCCTCATGTAGGGTAGAGTTGTAATGTATCTGTGTACTAAAGAATGAGTGCAGACTAGGACAGCAAAATGTAATCTCCAACTATAGCTTTTCGCTGTGCTAACTACATAGTGGCGAAAAAGCTTTGAGAAAACAAATAGAAAGACAGCTGTGTCACGCTTTCTTTTCCAATCCACATTTTTTTGTTTTGGTTGCCTTCTATATGAAGAATAGTATTTACATCCTATAGTTTCTGAGTGCTGGGCACAAGGGCTGGTGACCAATGAGTAGGCGAAAGTGAATCAGAAGACTTGTATTACAATCAAATAAAAACACATGGACAATATGATACCAGATGATGTTGCCTGCAGACACCCTGTTTGATGCCGTTACTTCTTTAAAACTGGATTGTCTTCACTATATGCACAGCACTTTCGACAATTGCCAGACATTTAAAGAGTGAGTTCATTTTATAGGTTAAACTGTGCTGGTGTATTCTGATCGCACTGAAATATGAGCGTAGCAGGTGCTTGAGGAACCCACACGTGGCTGCTAAAGTCAATTGCCTAGCCATCTCAATTGATCTGAAAAGGTCTTGACATATTTAGAAAGAAATGACACAGCAGTACGCACTTTTACAAATGATCAAGATTCAGGTCTCACCTGTTCAGATTCAAGTACCAGCCACTACAGCACAAGCAGAAAAGTGAGAATGGCCAGTGGTGCAAAGCACAAAGAAAAGGAAAAGAGACAATGAGGTTAGAAGGTGAGAGCGGCAAAGGCAGAAGGTGCAACAGTGCTAAACAGTCACATGTGAGTGACACTGTCACAGCCTGTAAAGCAAGTGTTATATGGATTTGCGCAGCAACAGAACCCCACGTGAGCAAAACAATGATGCCTACCACCAGTCCACCTTATTTCAGAGGACCGCTCTTACGACGGCCTGCGTCACGGTCTCTGTGATGGCTGCCATAGGGACAGTGCTGCCCAGTTGCGAGCGCCGGCATGCGCACCAGAGAACACCCACTATGGCTACCGAAAGCAGCAGCAGACAGGACGCAATCAATGCTGCCCGCTCGGCAATCTCCATGGAAGTCCAGTGCAAGTTGGCTGGTGGCAAACCTTGAACCGTTGTCACACGAGCCAAATCAGCTTCCAGGTAGTCACTAGTTTCTAGCAGGTGAATATACTGAAGGTTTCTACCACTACATCAAGCTGCTGACTGATCACAACTAGGGCATTAAGAAAGATTACAACTTGAAGTGTAGTTGTAGCTGATGCTCACGTCTCGCTCATCAACTATAGCTCTAGCGTGTTTATCTTAAAAATCAGCATGCCTTTGTTCTGCCAGGGCTGTACAGTGTTTCAACGAGTCTCTTCAGGTAAACAGTATAAAGGACATAATTATGCAGTCAGAGCACGAAGGCAAATTTTCAAACTCTTTTCACCCCCTGCTAATTGTGATGATCAATGTTTCTTTTTTCCCATTTATATATATATATATATATATATATATATATATATATATATATATATATATATATATATATATATATATATATATAGTGCACGAATAGGTCCCTAGAAAAATAATGACGACATATTCACAAAATGACACCCAGTTTTATAAACCAGAGCTCCCAGATTGAACCGCACGATTTTTAACAGCTTCACATTTTTTTCTCGCCTACCTTTCGCCCACAATAATAAATTGTTTGTTCCAACTGTCGTTCTACATTTTCAATACATTAGGCTACACGGGGCAGAGCTTTGGCATTAAAACTACGGCATTTACAACGTGTTAAACCCAAAACATCAACCAAACTTGCTCACATTTCTCCTTGCTTGTCCAGTAAAACAACACAACAGGCTCAGCGGGTACAGTAAACACCCGTATACTTACAAGACGTGCAAGCAAACTAATTTTGAAAAACGGCTTCATAGTTTAACGCGTGCCCACCAGTTAAGCGGGATTGTTCAGAGCAAAGCCGGAATCACAGCTGGGCCCCCGCGCTCGCTTCAATAAGTTATTTCCCTGGAAGATCGGCAAATAGTTGACACCTACCAGCCATTGTCCCCGGAAATTTTACGGTCGTTTGTAGGGTGAACCGGTAGATCGCTGTAGCCCACATGCTTAAGTATTTTGGTTTAATTCCTAAGTACGTCATGCAGCAATCGACACTCACAAGACATGCGCTTTGCAGACCGGCCCTTAAACAAAGGCGTACGGACTAATAAGTGTTAAATACAGCACAAGAGAAACGAATTTGCAACTTACTCACCGTAGCGCAGCGGCTGCCAAAACACGCGACTCTCGGATGATCCCCCAAACGAAGGCAAATGTGAAAACGCGGCGGCCTGCGAAGACAACCGTGCGGCGACTGTTTGTCCGTACGTGCGGTTATGTCGCAGCGGCCAAGGCTAACCGCTTTCGCGAACTTTGGCGAACTTTACCGCGTAGTTTTACGCCGCCGGAACGACGTCGATTTCCACGGAGAGACAACACGCGAGATCCGCAAGTGACGTCCGCATGCTGCCAGTGCTGGCGTCGCAAGAAATAAATGCCTGCCGCAGCCTTGTTTGTTGTTTACAGTTAACTCATGTAAGGCTGATTAGCTTTAGCGGTCAAGAGTTCTATCGGGGGGTTGTTAATTTACATACGAAAGGATTGGGCAGTTCGAAAAAACACGAGGCGCATAGCCCATGCGATTAGGCGCGCAGAAAGGGTAAAATCGTTCCACTTCTCCGTGCAACGCCGTCCCATGCTTCCAATTAACTCGCGTTGGCTCCGCCTACATCACCTTGCAAGAACTAAAGCAATCGAGGGATGGCGTATTTCAGACTTTGTGCGATAGGTGACAGCACACGTTCAATGTTTTCCAACAGTGTGCTAGTGTTTTGTACGTTTCGTATTATGTTACAACTGGTTCCAACAACGGTGTGGTGCAAGGTGTAACCTCGTAGGACAAGTGATCGGGACCAGTATCACGGCGTGTACTGCGGTTAGCAATGTTAGTAACACACCAAAAGTTGCTTACCTGTTTTTCAACAGATCTCATGCAGAAAATGATGATGATGAGATACCCCGGGAAATTTGAATGGGGAGGCAGCGTCCATGTTGTCGGTGCAACATTTTCGGCAACGGTAACCTTTACACTACGCTTAAATGCTTCTTTACTCTCTGTATTGTGTGCAAGAGGAGCATATTCCCTATATTTTTTCTCGAATTGGGGGGAAGGGGGCGTTCAATTACCTTTCAAGTTTTAAGTATGTTCATGTGTACGTTTGCGTGCAAACGCAAAGTAAAAAAAAAAAATCGTGTGTTCGTGTGCGCGCGCATGCACTCGCGCGGGGAGGAGGTGTAGTTTGAACCCCCATGCCACCCTCTCCGTGGTTGCACCAATGGTTTACAAGGTTCTACTATGAGGTGGATGTGGAAATGTCTTGCAGTGATAGTTTTTGAAACACATATAGCAGTGCTGCACAATAACACGGACACTAAAAAAAGGAGAAAGTGCACAGGACGTCCTGCATACTTGCCTTACTTCGTCTGTGTCTTTTCTCGCAGTCCTGCTATATGTGTTCAAGAATGCAACAACTAGCTCAAACAAGATACTTGCTGTTGATACTTTCTTTAACCATCTCAGACACTTTATACACAATTGTGTATACCACCTGCTTTTGCGAGTTGTGCTGACATGTGGCCGAGAAAGCGCAACATGCGAAAACCGTTTGTTGAATAGAACCACATGCACAATAAATATGTCTTCATTTTATTTTATTTCACAGTGTACTGTTTATTACAGCTAATAGTCACAGCGCTTAAGGCACTGTTATCTCGACGAATAGTTTGACGAGCCGCTTTCCGTGAGCCAAGACAAAAGCACAACTTTTCCCTGCTCATGGTGAACATGACCGAAAACCGATTCGCACTGTACATCTAGCCTGAGATTTGACTCTACTTATGCAAACATAGACCTTTATATACAATTTAATGAGTCACTGTCACACGTGTAAATCAACGTATAATGAGGTTAGTCTTGCTAAATTAGAATACTGAGTGCATTACAGTAATGTTACGTTAATTTGACGCAGTTACAGGCAGTTCTGCGTAGGTGGCGTCTGAAAGAGTTAACGTGCTGAAAAAAAAAATTCTGCGTTACTGCTGGTAGTGCAGCCTTACCTACTCTATTTGCGCTACGCCTTCCATCGAAAAAAGGAAAATGAGGAGTGGCCATGTCTCAACACGACCGAAAACAAAAGGCATATTTCCGTCCTCCCCTCCAACAATCGTCATGACAGTGCACGTTTGCAGGAAAACCTTCGTAACACAGCCGCATAAACATTTCCCGCCGGTACACTCTTTATTCACGGGTCGAACCAATGAGGGAAAAGGTGAGGACAATGTCTGTGTGGACTACTTCGCTAGGCAAGGCTGGCTGCCCTGCGTAATTTTCTTCTTGTTTATTATTTTCACATTTCGCTCGCATCTTGTCCAACTAAAGGACACACTAGTACGAGCGGCCGTGCTAGTACGATACATTGAGGATGGGGATATCCTCTCGCTCGACATTTCTCAGGATTCCTACATTACGACGTAAGAATGTAGCAATTGAAAGTAAACTACAAGAGCACGACCCTACATGTATTTCCTCCTAAATACTTTATTGAATGCGCAACGGAATCGGACCACTTACTGGGGTGTTATTCTGTACGAGAATTTCTTGCTCGTATGAAGATGCATTCCAATGACGGACCAAACCACGATACGAGCCTGCGGATTGCGTACTACGTCACCGTACGTCAGCCGCTGCCGCGATCCCGCTTCTGTTCACGCGGGGGCGATTCGTGAAACGACGGAAGCCCAAATCACATGTTCGGATCCTCGGGGAGCAATGCTCAAATCCTTGCTTGTATAGCGTGAATTCTCACCTGTCGTGCGAATTCTGGCTGCTGAGACATCCGAACTACGTCACATGTCACGTGACTGATTCGTCTTCATTCACGTCCGTCACGTGAATACAGCTTAAATTGCACTATGCAAATACTTCGAGGAATCAAAACTATAGTACAACTACGCGCCACAGTGGGCGTTCCTTCGTGAGTTTAAAAGAAAGGTCACATCTATGACCTTGATGATTGATTTGTGGGGTTTAACGTCCCAAAACCACGATATGATTATGAGAGACACCGTAGTGGAGGGCTCCGGAAATTCCGACCACCTGGGGTTCTTAACGTGCATTAAAATCTGAGCACACAGGCCTACAACATTTCTGTCTCCATCGGAAATGCAGCCACCACAGCCGGGATTCGATCCCACAGCCTGCGAGTCAGCAGCCGAGTACCTTAGCCACTAGACCACCACGGCGGGGCCAGCTATGACCTTCCAAGTCCGCTTCCACCGGAAGTGAGGTGGTTGGCGAGTTCTTACTCCGTGTTCCCGGTAACTGCGACACTGAACATCGTGTTTAAGTCGTCTGTGCAACATTTCAAACACTTGAGAAGGACCGACATGTCCGACATGTACTTGTGTGCTCGAGGTCATTTTGATGAGGGCGTCTCCACGAAAGAAACAACCTATTTATCGCTCGGTGAATATAAAACTACTTAAGTATCTCAGTACTCAACCTTGAAAAGGGAAAACGCGCCAAACGTACCAAGTCAATTGTGTTTCCAGTAGCGCCACGCTGCACTGACATAGTTTCGATTTCAAAATATAGGTGGCATTAGATCGCTTCAAAATTTGGCAGTGCTATTTCCTCTCTCACACACTAATGCACTCAGGGAGAACTTGAGCTCTTTCGTTCCTCAATCTTCACGGACTTCTTCTTGGCGTAAGTCTGGTACGTCTGCGTGTACACAGTGTGCTTTCGCGGAGGCTCAACCGTCGGAGGGGGCGTATAGTCGATCGGCGGCTCAATGTAGTACGGGTGAAACGGGTACCCATTACGTGGCTGCCGTTGCTGCGGCTCGTGGAATGGCGGCAACGGCTGTGGCTGCGGCTGTTGCTTCGGCTGTGGCTGCGGCACCGGCTGCGGAAGGGGCTGTGGATACGGCTGCGGTGGCTCTTCCGGGCGCCAGTGGTGGTGGTCATGTTGTTGCCGAGGGTCCATGCACGGTGACTGGGGCATCTGGTGCTCGTCGGCGAACAGCGGGTGCGTCATTTGGTTGCTGCTGCTGCTGCTTCCGTTGTTGCCAAGATAGGAGCGCACGTTGCACAGCAACCAGAGGCCAAATATGCCGCACGCGGCTATGACGATTAGCAGAATGAACCACAGCAGCAGGTTCTCCATGAGCAGCGCCAGGGCTGATGTTTATGTGGGCCCTCTGCACGTGCATCACAAACAACACATTCGGGTGTCAAGAACCGGCAACAGGGAATGAGTTCAAACGACCGGTGACTTTAGGAGCCAGCGGACGTGTGGTGCAAGTAGCTAAAGACAAAAGAAAATAAAAACGTCACAGCACCGCTACGCTAGATGATCAGTATGTGTTGTTAAAGTAAATTGTACACTGTTATCAATTATGCGTATGCTCCTGCATAGCAAGAACTATATTAGGGTATGGGTCATATTCTAAAGCAACATAAAGATATGAAAATATATCGTAGCAAAATGTTATTGGTGGCATCGTAATTCCGAAGCTACAAACCTTCCCACCTAGCTAATCGCGTTTACACGCGCGAATAAATTACGTGATTATGAGTCGGTAGCCGCCACACTGCTCACACGACACAGCGAATTCTCTTGTGCATGCCTGACTCTTTCCATGTGAATTAGTTCGCAAGCCGCTGGTCCAGAACAACCCGACTCAAAAGGGCTACAGAACAGCTTTTGTATGGTTAGGCTTGTAAAGTGCATGGCTTATGCGTCACATCGCACGACTTAGGTGGCATCTTTGCATCACCCCTCCGTATCATCCTTCACAATTTTTTATTTTTTTTCTACAGAAATGGTAGATATTTCCGCAAAATATGACGACACTGATCCCCTCTAAAGGAACACTAAGGGAACTGATATATTTTCCTTGTATCAGTAAATTAGCCTCTCACAAAACTTAAAGCACCGCTTCCTTGCTATGAGAAGACGCTTGTGGTACGCTACAAAATGAGCCCAGAGAAAAACCTGGCAAAGAAGCCACCTTTCGGTTTGCCTCAATAACTTACCGTGATGTCGAAGATTTTGACGGTGTCCGCAATAGACAACGTATTTCGGTAAATGTTAATTGCAATGCATTTTACTAAATCAGTAATAGCCAACCAAGTTCGACGGAATAATATTGGTCCGATGAGGCCTTTGAAGTCATTGACGCCACACTGACATTCGGGTGCTGGGGTTTGGACGCGAAATTTCGAAATGAAGCCTTGGCAATAATTTCCTGTTCTCGTAATAAAAATGTGCAGCAGAGGAGTACGATAATAGAGTTCACAGTGGAGGAATCACAATTCCAACCAAACTCGTAGCCAGGATTTTTTTCAGAATACGGGGGAAGAGGGGGGGGGGGGCATTTGCTAAAGGCACTGAGAAACCCTCATTTTCTTAATTATCGGTAAAACATCCCCTTCATCTGAATTTCGAATGCTCAAGCCCCCCCCCCCCCCCCCCCCTGCCATACGGGCCTCATTCCAACATTTCTTAGTGTTTCACTTTAGTGGTTCTTTAGACCCCACGTCCGCAATCTATTGCAAGCATCGCCCTTTGTTGCCATATTTTATTTAGTGGCATGGGCACCAGTGAGCCTCGTGTTTCTCTTCCAAGGATTTCCGGTTTTACGAATATTCACAAAAGGGATTATAAAAAAAATATAAATAAAAGGCTCTGGTTCACGTTATGGGTTATATTGGACAGTGGTGTAGCCAAGAGGTTGCCCAACGAGCCCGCACTCCCCACCCATCCCCAAAATGTTTTTTCACCATGGCATATGCAGCGTAAAATCACCATTTGCCGCCCTTTTCCCGATCAGATCAAGAAGGTGCCCCTCCCGAAAAAATATTTCTGCCTACGCCCCTGATATTGGATATGTATGAGCTCAGAGCATAATTTGATATACGATAAGGGACAGCTAACTGTCAGAATAATAAATGAAAGTTAATTGAGTTACCTGAAAAATTTCAAGCAGCTGTGATTGTTGCGGCATCTGGCGGAGCAGATGAGAACCACAGGATTCTTTAACGTGGCCTCTGAGATCCGCTTTAGGAGCACACGAAAAACAAACTTAACCCAACAAATACACCGGAACATAGCATCGCTCAACGCAACGTTGCTATTGCCGACATTTGAGCGCAAATACCGGATACCTAAGCGAATAATTAGGGCCGCCTGATACTTTTCTTTTAACGTAAATGGTATCTCTACTCACTAAGAAAAGTACCGAGGCGCCACGGAGCCTGAAAAGTTTGGTGGCACCTGCATACCTACCTTGGTAACAAAAGAGTGGCGCTCAGCGCGCGGGTGATCGTCCCCAGTGGCGTTGGTCGACGCTGAGCTGCTGCGTAGATTCGCGGCGACATGCGTGCGACCCGTCGAGGCGTTTTCGGTCGAAGCAGCGGGATGGGCGGCTCGATCAGAACGTTTCGCGCACCGGCGGCACGGTGCAATAACGTTGTCGGCTAAGCAGTAAGCATCCGTTTACCTTCCGTGCTCGAATAAGCCATGTGGAACGGACGCGAACAGTAGTAGCTCTACGCGCCGTATAGAGCGTGGCGCGGCGAGGGTGAAAGCCGGTAACCCCGCTGCCTGGCAAACAAGCCACTGACTGTCGCAAAAGCTGGCTGCGTTGTTGCTCTCGTTTCAGTTTCCCGACCCCCGCTTGAAACAGCGGGGGAAGCGTGTAACGCTGAAGAGTGGCGACTGTTTCCAGTTGAGTTGTACTTTAGCCGTGCTGAGCACTGTCTCAGCCAAGGGCTGGTGAAGAAGTGTCAACCACTCCCCCCCCCCCCCCCAAACAAAGAACTTGATAAAATTGCACGTATACACGCGCCCACGTAGAAATGCACGCGCAAATATTTATATAAAGTTTGAAGACCCTACACCCCCTCCCCTCCCGAAAAGAAACAATTATGACTACGAATTGTTGCTGCTACCACCGCGCAAGGGCAGGGGCCGGCCACCGCCGCGGCTGTGGTCACTGCTGCGGGTCGGCTGCGTCAGCGTCGCCACCGCTGAGAGGCGGCACTCAGCAGCGACGAGCTGGCCGACCAGCTTTAGGCCGTCCGGCAAGCCGAAGATGCCGCTCGGGTCCAAGGACTTCAAGCGGTCACCGAGGCATCACCATCTTCATCGATGGAGGGTGGGAAGGGACAGGGGTTATTTCCCTCTTCACCCCACCTCACCCGAAGGAAATTGCCAGACTTTAAATAAAGTTCATTCATTCATTCATTCATTCATTTACTATAGTGTTAAGCCAACAAGAACCAAGAGCAAGACACATGAAAGTTTTTATGTGTTCCTGTGAACTTTTCTTTCTTTCTGCTTGCGCAACACGTCTAAATTTCAAGTATGAACTATCTATCTTGCGTTTTCCTTTTAAATGTGGGATCCACCATACGCCCCATTACAACGTAGCTGCTTTGGGTGGTCGATAACAAATATTCAAGGGCACTGGCATAGCCTGGGAGGGGATAGTTAACCCCCCTCCACCACAAAAGAAATGCTTGTCAAGTTTTCACACACACATACAAACGCATGCACGAATATTCACAGAGTGTGGTTGAAAACATTACCTTCTCGAAAGTAGTTTCTAGCTACGCCCCGAGCTCTGTCGGCTTTGATGTCGGTTTCACCTAAGCTGCTGTTCCTTACTTTTAATTTCTCACCCCCCCCCCCCCAGGAGTGATTCTTTTGAAAAATATATGTGGTGACTATGTACTAAACGAAATGGGGGGGGGGGGGGACAACGTAGTGTTCAAATGCGTGCAGGCCGCTCTCCCATGCAATCATATGACAGCGCAGCCTGGGAACTTATGACCACCCCTGCACATTGCACATATGGCTCGACCAGCCTCCAGTCTTCGTCCGGAGCAGTGACTGTCTGTCTGAGCGAGAGCTGTTACCAAGATCGTCTGCTGCGAAACGCTCCAGGCTAATTGAAACCACGCAGGGCTCTTCGAAGTGTACCTGAATCTAAGCGCGCGGGTGCCATTGCATTTCGCTCACATATGAAATGATGAGTTAGACGCCCTATGACCTCTGGCGACTGTAGACACCCCTAGCACTTGCGTGCGCGTCGTGCAAACACGCGTAGCGATACCGGAGGCTCGCAGGGACAACGCCCATCGTTCTCACCTCTCCCTGTCGAGCGCGATGATCCGTAATACGCGACACGCAAAAGGGGGATGATGCATTGTGTCGCCGCCGCTTGTCTATCAAGCAGCCACAGCCAGGCGTGGTCGATGTCGTGGATCGACCGTTTATGACTAAGCCGCACCGCCCGACGAGTACGACAGGACAAATGTTTGACGAGCTCGTCGAATGACAGAAAGAAACGAAAGGAGAGACGAAAGGTTAATAAATCATAGGTGAAAGTGCTTGGGAGCGATTCCTGGGAATAAAATGACTAAGATGACGATATATGTGGTCAATTACTCTTTCTACCTGGTGGTCTCAATATTGGTGTCCTAGACTACTAGTTTAACAAATATTTATAATAAACACGCTCGTAGTCAGGACACAATATTGAGGAGAACTAGCACGCAGTGATGACATGGAAAGTATAGCGGATGTGATTTGTACTAATTATGACATGAAGTTTGAAAAAAAGTAAAGCGGAAGAATAGACAGCTTGCCATGGGAAGGAACCGAACCGGCGACCTTCGAATAACACGTGCGATGCTCTATAAACTGAGCTACAGCGGCGGTTATCGCCCCGCCCACTTCATGGATTATATATGTTCACTTAAACCTGGGAGCGCTAGTCAGCACCGCTAGTATCCATAATGGCGAGAGTGGAACGCTGTTGTTATGCTTTTAGCATGTGATCTTATTATGAGCCGGTGCTATTCGAGGTTCCTAATTGCATAAGTAAGCATGTTTACTTAACTAACTTTTGAAGCAACGAAACTGGCCAGAAAAGTCCAATGGCAAAGTTGTAGATCGGTTTTTAAAACGCCCGATTGGAGTTTTGTGACGTTTTATGTATGAAATATTAATGTTTTTTTTTTTTGCGGACTACAGCTGCTCGCGAAATAAACAAAAAAGTACCTCGTCACATGTTAATCATTTATTTATTTATTTACGTATATAGCAAGTATTATAAAACAACCTCATTTAATCAAGCCAGATTTCTGCTGTGCCATCAGAGCTTTACTGTAAGAGAGTTAGTCTTTCTTCGATATCCTATATGTGCTGAGTGCGCACGTTTGAGGAGAAACAACTGTAATTAAAGCAAGGCTTCCAGCTCCTAGTCCTATATTCCACTGGCAGTGCTGTAGCCATGGAAGGGGGGGGGGGGGGCACACCAGGCCCTCGCAACACCACCCCGCCCTAAACTCTTTCTCCATGGCATAGACAGCAAAAAAATGACCACTTCAGTCCCCCGACTCCCCTTCCAGAAAATAAGTTTTGCGTTTTCTCAGACACCGGCCTGTTTCACCGTTAGTGGTGTGAAACTGTTGCGCGTTGGCCCAGCCAGTGACCGTTTTTTCCTCCTCTATAACTTTCCTTCCCCTCTCCCCTTCCGCCAGTGCAGGGTAGCCTATTGGAACTCAGCCCTGGTTAACCTCCCTGCCTTTCTCCTTGTGTTCCCTCACTCTCTCTCTCTATCTCTGCTTACACCCCTACCCACTGGCTATTGCGGTTCGCCAGGCCCAAGTTCCTTCAGAGCCAAGCGCCTGCCACGACCAATAGGTGTTTCCTTTATTGGCAATTAGCGGTGAGACGACATCGGCCTGACACTGTGTGTACTGGTAGGTTGTGTGTTCGTCTGTCCGGGTGGAGTCACACCACTGACCTGCGTTGCCGCGTTTTCCGAAGTCCATGTGGATTGGAATAAAGACGAACGCCCATTCCCGTTTGGAGCAGCCTTGTATCTGTTGTCACACAGGGCATACCGACGAAGGGCCGTATCTACTGAACTGTACCGGGTAAATATTTCGTGATCCACATCGCCCTATTATTTCCTACATTTAGTGTTGCCCTTCGATTTAGTAGCTATAGTTTGCTTCGTCTAAAAATGTGAAATAATCTACCATTTGCAGCTGGTAATCATGATCATCTGTCTGCGAGATATACGTAGGATATGCGGGCTGCACTGTTTTTGCTGCTTCAGCTGTGGCTATCTACAACACCTTAGCAGCGTGGGTAAAAGTGACTGAGAGGGGAAGGGGGGAGGTGAGAAGAAACGTGTTTGCTAACTCTGTATTTGAGTACCACAGGCTTGTGCTCCCGCGTGTGATCGCAGAGGCGTTATTGATATGAGGAGGGAAGTTGGCTGAACGGGTGCGCGTGACCCAAGCGACCCGTTAGTTGACTAGCATGAATTTAATTGTCGAAACATGATTTTTAGTGTCCTTCATCGTTCATTCTCGTTACTTCATTTCTTCTTGCACTTGGCTGTTCATTGCATTCTGTTCGTAGACTAGTACAACGAGTGCGAGATTAAGGACAGATTTCCGTAACGTGACAGGACAGGGCCAGAACAACTAACTGGCTCTTCTTGCGACGAATCACGATGGTGTAGCTGCGTACGTTTTACGGCAATCCGTAACTAATCTTGTACGCAACGTACAAGCCTCAGCTTTCGTAAAGGTTTCGGACGGAGCATAAATGTCGCGTTTTCCACTGTGACTCGCCAGGAATATCCTTTTGAAACCGTATAAGGGGAGATATTTTGGGTTGCGGTTTCGACATCCAGACACCAACTTTGGATCCGCTTTTGACGTATATGTATAAACCCAAAAAAATATCAACCGCAATGGTGGGAAACTTACTGTCAAGAACTTTATTTCTTCTCTCTACACCAACCACTCAGGGCTCAGGATGCGAACACATGTGAACAAGGGAACATGGCTTGCAGCCTAGAGACCACGTACACGACACGTTCCTCACAAGCCCCGTACGTCTCATCCAAACGTGACGAGCATAACAGTGCGACGTCCGGATAACACACAAGAGAAAGTAACGCACATGTAAGACGAAAAGTAAAGAAGCACACGCGTAATCCATTTGAACGCCAGGAGCTATAGTGAAACAGGCACTGTACAATACAGTCAAAATAACTGCGATAATTCAATCGGACTGAACCCATCCCCACAAGACGCACCGATATTTAGAGGGAAATAAGGGTTGATGTATTGATGTGGCGTTACACAAATTCTCCACGCACTCTGCAGTACTGTGTTTGCGTTCAATCAGAAGCTGCGTTCAACAATAGCAGAACGAAGAAAATCTAAGGGGCAGCTTGCCCCACATGGCTTGCATAAAGCGATGGAGGAAAAAAAATAAAACTACAATAAATTGACATGCTATAATTGACCATGAATATTAATGAGGAAATTAACGCTTAGCTGGTAACCGGCCGATCTTTTGCTCCCCCTGACCGGAAAATAACACGAGAACTAACCACGTCCAAATTACTTCGCTGAACGTAATTAACCCAATAGCCGCCACACCGAAAAATGGCCTGCGCCAAGCAATACGTACTTTGAAATATGCAACAAGGACGAGGTAGAATTGCAGATAATCCCGCTCCAAAACAATGGGCAAATGTTTTGGATGCAATCTTGCGAATTAACACGTGTATTGATCCTCAAAGGGGTATTGCCCATATTTCGGTATATATTATGGCCCAGTACATATTACACTACGATGGCAGGCATTGTTTTAACGCAGATATAAATTACCGTACTAGAATTGCGCTTGCTCATTGCTTTGTTGTCTTTTTTGATTTATCGTTCTGACGACTGAAAATAGGTTGACGTATTTAAAACCCCATTAAACCCCCAAATACCATTGATTATACGCGTATTTAAACTTCCAGAAGTGAAACACCTACCCGTTCCTTACACGGAAAGTCAGAGGTTTTTAAAGATAATTGACTGAATTTGCGTCACCTTTTACGTGTAAATTAAAAAAATTGGAAAAAAATTCATTTGTATAGTCAGTTGTTCGTACGATTCATACCACGTTCTCTCATGCCCCTGAAGTTTAATTTTTTTTTTGCAGTACATACGTCATCATTAATTATACTGTTAGTAAGCCATATGTAATCAAATGTTCTGTTTCTGTAAAGTTTCACTCTTACCTATTACACAATAAGGGTGACTGCAGCAGTACCGAAAATGACATTACAAGAAGCGAACAAGTTCGGAAGGCAGCTTCCATATCGATGCTGCAACTGAAGAACGTCACCACACGTTTGCAAACAATAATACAAGCACGAAAAATGGTTGTAAGAGTACTAAGTGGTCTTACAATAACATCTGCGCATGCGTTCAGACGCGTACGAAGCTGTTCAGTAAACTAATAGCAACAGAGCATTATGAGTATGTAGAAAACATGTCACTCTCTTTGCTGAGAACAAGCGTAACATAATGTTGGCTTGGATATGTACACATTCTTGGTGCGATGAGACGCGCACAAAGGCAGCCCGTCTAACGCAGAGAAAAACACAACTTATAAAATGGAACAACAACAAAACCACATAACACGACGTAAAACACACCGAGAAAGAGGTGTAACAAAGAGTAATATCATGCACTGACGTTCAGCACCCTTGCCATAGCGATGCCTTCACAATACCCCCCCCCCCCCCTCTTCGTGACGTGAATAAATTATGAGAATATCGCAACCACATTAAAGAACAACACTGGCAGTAATAAACAGGCTGACAACCACAAAGGAGCGTATAATGTGAAAAAAAAAAAGACCTGTGGTGAACGTGACAGTCAAAGTTGCATAACATACACACCTGATCCCTGGAAAACGACAGACGCAGGCAAAACAATAATAAAAAAGTTCGACATTTCTTTGAGTGAACAGCGATAGTTTTAGAGTTGATATAAGCACTTGAATGTCTTAAGTAGGTTCTTTTTGACATACATAATCATTAACACTCCTTGCAAACACACAGACAATAACAGTATGGGAAAAAAAAGTATCGGTGGCAATATCAATGTTACGGTGAGTCACACAACATACTCGCAGTCGTATGTCAGCATGGTGCGGACAGCCTTATGAGCGGCAAGCGTGCATCGTACAAACAAACCCTGCATACGATCATTCAGTGTCGAAGCAAATGAAAAAAAAAAACACCCTTCTAGTCCTTATTAGTTAGCCAGGCTTTGACAGTCCCACACAAAAGAGTGCGGTACACTACGTTATTATTGCGGAAACATGGTCCATTCACTGGAAAACACGGAAGTATTACGCTGAAAAAAAAAAGAAAGCACAACGTTGCCAACAATGGCCAATAGAATAAAGAAAAGCGCGAGGTTGCGAACAATGGGAAAACAATCGAGGAACTAACATTGGGTCAATGTTAACCAAATTTTGGACCGGTTAGGCCTTAGATGGACTCAACACGAGCTCCCGTTGCCGGTCGTAGCTGGTAAGAGCCGAATATCGAGGGACACGTTTATTCTGTGCGCCCGAAAATTGGCAGGCGCCAACATGAATCGCCATGCATCTGTGTTGATTTCTTGCTGAGCTCAAATATAGTCTCTCCATTGAAAGGTGATGGACCTTGCGGCTAATTTCTTGCAAGGTCTACAAAGTGGTCGCAACCACGGCCAGTTATATATAGTCTGTTTCTCCCCACCTCCAAAGGTCCCTTATTGGTTCGGAGGGACATTTGTCGCTTCTAACCAATGAATGAATGCTCTTTGAAGACAGGGTGTGGCTAAAGCCAACGTTTCCACCTGCCCCCCCCCCCCCCTCCCCCCGGTCACTCCCTGCCCAAAGCTTTCCGTTTCAGTTCTTCAAGGCTCGGTCCTGTGATGAACTTCATCCTTGTTTGCAATTACGAATCAACGAAGGAACCGACGCCTGAATTCGAGAATTAACCCCTCCCCTTTCATTAGCGAGTTTACTTAACATAGATATATAAACGCGAGTGCGAAGCTAAAACAGCAAATGAGTACACTGTGAAGAAAGTTGCCAGGCTTTCGGCCTAAATATCAGTGACCTCTGAAAGCAACCGTAAATGATTTGTATAGTTCATGAGCGCAATAACGTGCTACAGTAAAGCGCTTCGAGCAACATGGCGAGGGTAACTGTAATACTGAATCTCGAATTCGTGCTTTACAATGTGAGTGTGACGGCGATATTAATCAGCCTACAGTCACCCCCACGTTGTGTCAGTACATAAGAAACGAGTATAAATGACTGACAGCTTTACGCTTGGGTTAAGATTAGAGCGAAAACGCGCTGTAACCACAAGTATTTGTATTGTAAATACATAGAGGGTGTGGCAGTAGTTTGGCATTAAAGCGGGTGAGCTTATCACGAGTTCTCATTTCATTGCTCAGCGAATGAAAAAAAAAACAATGGTCATAACTTATGTTTAGTAAAGTATATCGTAAAATACGCATTGAAACAAACACACACGCGAGACATTTCGTCACATGACGTCTCTCAACGCTGAGTGTGAGCACAGGTCATATTACACTTCTCCAGATGTTAGATTACAACACTTCGATGTCTGTGAGCCTTTGCGAATGTTTCGTGAAGGAGTTTGAAAGCAGTGACGAAGTTTTGATGTATGCCGACCACAACGACTCAGCTGCTGACTTTACATGACTGATCTCGCAAAGCCATCAAGCTGTAAGAGGCACGAATGAAGTTTTTTTTTTTTTTCGGTCAGGCCATGATGTTTCAATGTGGCACATAGGAGGAATGTTGGGAAAACTGGAACACCTGTCCACGTTTACATTCTTTACAAAAAGAATACAGTCGTACCCAGGTAACAAATGTATAAAGAAAACGATTGATGGACTGTCTTCAACAAAATGGCAGAGCTTAAATCAGGGTTCCAGCAGCGCCGTTCAAAGGCGCAACACCGCGGCTTTACTGGGGTGCTGTGTTTCTTTTTTTTTAACGATTCACTTTTTTAGTGTTTGCTTCGTCATTCGATCGCTATTTCACGTCACAGTGACGATAGCAGATAATATGGACAGAAACAGTGTCGAAGAAAACAACAGTGGTTGCAAACTATCCTTCAATATATATTACCTTATCATGTTAGCAGTTGTAATAGTAGTAAAAAACAGAAACCTTCAGCGTACACAAAACCGCACGTGACAACTACGTCATCAAGGGAGTGTTTCATGGCCCGTCTTCGTGTCGTTATTCTCAAGGCATCTTAGAGCAAATCTTGCAATGAAACCATTCGTAACCGACCAGAAAGCCCGCAGCAGCCACGCGAGCCAATCAAAACTGAGAAGATGGCGGGCTTCGACAATGTACTCATATACGTACGACCTCCGCATGGAAAATCCCGAAAGTTGAAAACCACAGTCACGCCCACACAACGTTTCCCATACAACGTTCTTCCATACAACGTTCTGGAGGAAAGTCTGGCGCTGTGAAAGAGTTAATTGGCAGTTCGGCGAGTAAGATTATGTGGTAACGATGCTTAGAGTACTTTAGCTTTAGCTTTGTCTTCTTGGTTTCAAATGGCTCTGTGATACTGTAAACTTGGTTCCAACATACTACGCTACAAGTAAAACAATCCACAAAGAATGTTTAGTTATTTGCGTATTGGCTTGTCCCGTTGCTGAGCTTAAGGAAGGACAAGTATTTCTGAAATCTGGAAATACGCAAATGAATAGCCTTAAAAGAAAGTTAGAAAGAAATATGCAGGAATATGAGACAACTCCAAGTACTGTAACCATCATTACCACGGTGTATATAGACAATCGCAGCACCAGAATTGCCTCAAGCAAATCATGCATCATGCCATGATTTACTCCTCCCCGTCTTCATCCGCATTGTGAACGGCAGCACGAGCTCCGAACCCGGTGCCGCCGCCCCCACTGGAAAGCTCGGACGGACCTCCGTGAAAGCCCTCGTTGACGTGGCTCACAGCACTGTGTTCCTCAGGCGGCTTCCAGGTCGAAGACGAGGCGGTAGCAGCGGCGGCACCTTCGGTATGGTGGTCTTGACTGTTGGACACCGGAGGTGGGGGTCCGTACGGCTTGGTGAGGCTCACGGGCGTCGCGTAGTCCGGCTCTTTGTCCGCCGTCAGCGGCATGCAACTCATGTCTTCGTGGTGGTCGGCGCCGGGGCTTCCGGGCACCTTGATGTCGGGAACGTCCAGGTCGTGGTTGTCCAGGCACTGCGTGGTCGAGCCCGAACCCCCGGGCCCATCGTCGTCGCAGTCCTTGTAGTTGAGCACGGGGTATAGGCGGCCGTGCTTGATGTTCGAGTTGGCGTTGATCATGCCATAGTCCTTGGAGTCCGAGCAGAAGCGCTTAAAGGCGACGTACAGAGCGATCAGCACGATGCTGATGCCGACGAACAGTACGATGCCCAAGATGATGCCGAAAATCATTGCGGCGGCTGGGATTGGGACTTAGCGGTCAGCAGGAGGGGCAAGCGTGTACCTGCAAGGAGCCAACAAAAAACAGCGTCACGTAAACAAGTTACCAGCATTTTTCAAGAGTGAAAACAGCTGCAAGAATATTTTCTATAGATGGGCTATGCTTTCGCCGAGGTACTTTAAATACAATCTTGATTTATCTTCGGTGAGAAAGCCAAGTGCAACCAGAGATCTGGTAGGCATGCGATACGATTGATCAGGCTACTTCCTAAACATGTGAAGTAGTTGGCTGCACGTGAAGCGTCAGTGTGGAGAGTGCTAGAAAGCAGAGAGTTAAAAATGAAAAAGAACAACAAAAGCAGCAAGCCAAACATGCGAAAAGCGAGGTCGAACCAATAGAACTCTCGAACCAATAGAGGTCGAACCAATAGAGCTGGTCGAACCAATAGAGACAACGTGAAGTCAAGCCCTCACAAAAGGTAGCCGCTAGTGAGGTCATGCACTATTCCGCCATAGAATGCTGAAGTGCGAACAATTCGTTACCATAGTTATTCCATAGACACATGTGTCCTGCATTTATGGGATGTCCTTCAAGAAGGCATTGTTCACACGTCCCTTAGCCGTCATCTGAGCCGACGTGTCCGCCACAATTCCGGCGTCGTGTTCGTCCTCTGCCGTGAGGTCGCCCGCACCGGGAAGCACGACACCGTCGTCCACACTGTCACCCCGCCAGAGGGGCCTCGTGTCCACTCGAGGCGCATGGTCCTTGAAGAGACCCACGGGCATCTGCAGAAGCTTCGGCCTCGACATGAGTACGCCGTCTCGGTCGTCGTGGTTCACGTCATGCACAGAGAACGACGGGTCTGGTGTCTTGGTGATCTGCGACGAGACACCGCTGTCTGCTCCGGCCGACCTCTCCGGGCGGTCTCGACTGCGCACGAAGAACGGATTGCCCACGTCCTCCTCTTCATCTTCCTCCCGAACACTTGGCATCGGGGGTGCCAGAACGTGAGGAGAATGAGGAAGCTGTCCGGGAGGAGGAGGCTGCCCCGGAGGCGGCACGGGTCCGTGAACGTCGCACATGTGGACGTGGTAGACGCCCGGGTTCTGCTTGCACGGCTCGTTGCACTGGGGACAGGGCGGGCACTGCTGGTTCCGGATCTTGTTCTGGAAATGAGCCCGGCGCTTGGCCCGCTTGGAGGCCGTTATGCAGACCGACACGCAGAGGACGATGATGACACCTATGGAAATGAAGATGAGGGCTCCAAGGAAGATGGCCATTCCCGGACCCGCGTCACCCAGGAAATTGTTTTCGTTTCCGTCTTCATCGGAATGCGGCGTCTTTTCGGTTGCCGTACCCGACGTGTTGTAGGCAGTGCTGTTGGCAAGGCTGGAAGGCGACGTCGCACTCGGCAGGGTCACCGTGCTGGTTTCCATTTGCCCTGGTGGAACCATTAGCGGGCCACCGCTTGTCACGTTAGTTGCAGCCATGGTAATTTCTCTGGTAAGCTGAGTGGGTTAGTGCATGAGATTGGCGTAGTTTGCGAGGCCGGAGATAGAAATGCACATATAGATAGAGCTACAAGATGCCCCTGGAGAGAGAAAGAAGAGAAGAGAGCAGGAAATGGTAGTCTCTGTATCAGAAGAGAGGTAAGCGAGAGAAAAGAAGATATAATTCATTAATGAAGCACGAGCGATCCTCATTTTTTTGGAGGTATTTGTATTTATGCAATGTGCTAAGGTACTTGAAATGGTGATGTCTCGATGGAGATACTCTGGTCTCGATGGAGATACTCGGAGAGAAAATTCCTTTTCTTTTCTGTCTTTGCAACTACAACGAATGCCGAGATATCGCTTTGCTGTCGTACTGAGAAACAGCCCATTTATTCAGTTAGTCTTGGTGCACCTATACGTGTAGATGCGACATTATACAACCTCCCCATATCGTGAGTCAATCACTCTGTCACCACCGTTTAAAACGCGAAACCACACAGGACTTTCGCAACGGACATACGCATGATTGAAAAGTTTTGATTGCATGCGCACCACCAGTGTTGCATCAAGCTAGTACAAACGACAGGTGGCACTGTCGAGAGACTTATTTGTAATTTTGTATGGGCCAAAGTAAAATAATGGCGTAGTACATTCTGTGTTCTCTTAGAAACGCTGCCACATAATGCAGTATATCTGAAGAAGAAAGGAATACAATTTTTTGTCTGTAAACTTTGAAATGTAAGTTTGAGTTCGCAAGTTTGCCCAATAATGCATCACACTCCAGTTTTTCTTATTCAGACTAAACATCGTTAGGTTGGTGTCAAAACATTTCTAACTTTGTTTTTCGTCTTTGAAAGTCCACGCATGCATGTTGCGGAAAAATTATGCGCTCCCAGCATGCAGGAAAACCTTCACGATTAACCGTAGAGTTAATGCGCCTGCATAATAGATGCATTTTCAGAAGGCAAACTGAAACACCGGTGCCCTGTGTTTGCTTTTTCGTTTGATCACTGACCTTGTGATAGCAGGCCGGCTTCAACGCTTGGTTGGTGCGGCTGTTCTCAAGCGCGCGCGCGCTCGCGCACGCACGCACGCACGCACACACACACACACACACACACACACACACACACACACACACACACACACACACACACACACACACACACACACACACACACACACACACACACACACACACACACACACACACACACACACAGTTCATTTTGCGCTAAACGCCTTTCCGCATAGAAACAGCTCGCGCACGTTGACAGTGTATGCTCGCCTGTGGCGAGGCCCCCAGTGTGCGTTGTGTGTGTGAGAGAGAGAGAGAAAGGGGGTACCACCCAGTCACGCTCGCGTCTCCGTGAATAGCTACAGGAACAGCACAGTGACTCGTTCAGAATGAGCAAAAAAAGTGTACCACCAAGGTCAGAGCCGTGAAGGGAGGAGTGGGGGATTCCAACCCGGGCTTGACCCTTCACTGAACCACCCTCTTTCTACCTTTTTTTTTTCTCTCTGTCATCCTTTACCCGACAAAGGGCAAGCATTAACCCTCGCCTCGGTGCTCCCTCGCTCTCAACTTTTACCTGACAACGAGCTCACTCGGCCCCGCTGGGGCAGCAGCAGCAGGGAACGGCAATTAGTGATATTGGGGTTAAAAAGGAAAAGAGGCGCGCCAGTCAGCGCGGCCAAGCGTGTTTCCCATTCCCGAAGAGAAAGCGCACTGAGGCCGTGTCGAGGCTGCGGCGGCGGCGGCGGCTCGCATCTGATGACCTCGACGATGTCGCCGGCGCGAAACCAACTCGTGCGCCATGCAACGCCTCGCCAAGCAAGGAAGAAGACCCACCGTCGTCGAGGGTTCGATTCGTTCGTACGCTCGCACACATCCCCCTTTGCTCTCTCTCTCTCTTTCTCACACACGCGCACCGATGCTGGCTCAGCCATTTTATCTTAATAGTATTCATTTTGTTTGTACTTTAAACATGCTTCGCAAGCAGCAAGAAACAGCAGCATTACAGAAAAGAGCCCTCTTTTCTGCGTTCCAGCTCATGTAGCATGTCTAAAGTTCATACAGTAATATTAAGAATTTATGACCGTTTGTACCAAAACAGCAATGTGATTATGAGTAGCGCTTTAGTAGACTTATGACCATCATCATGAGTCGCAGTACACACGCCTCTAGCACATCGCCGCCACAGAAATGCAGCCGCCGCGGCATGGATTCCATCCCGTAACCTTCGGGTACGTCTTAAGTTCAAGCATGAACCAAACAGCCTGCAATGAAGTCTCTGCTGCAACCAATTTCGTTTATATGTGCGCTTAACTTGCTATCTTTTCGCTTAGCTGCGATGGACGTAAAAGCCTACAAAGCGGAGTCGTCCTCGCCGCTCGCGGCGGGGCGCGATTTCGCCGTGGAAACCGCGCGTCGGTGTAAACGGGGTCGAGCTTGCATGGCGGCCCGCGGTCACACAGCGCGCCGGCCACACGTGCATTAAACCAGCGCCGGTGCGGTGTTGTGGCCTTCGCCGACTTGTACGACGCGGCGAGGGCCCCCAGCTATCTCTCTTCCTCCCTGCACATGCTTAAAATTCATGCCGTTATTCGCGACTCCGCGCCCGTGACCCGGCGTTGGATCGCGCCGCTGCGTGGCCGCGTTTCCGGCGCCGGAACGGCAGAACTGTTCTTGCCTGCGGTCGGCGTGGCTTATACAAAATGCTCGCCTGCGTAATGAGAGACGGTGGCCTGCAGCGCGGCTTTACGCACAGCTTTGTGCCGCGGTGGTCTATGCGTGCATGGTTGAGGCGCTATTAGAGTGCCGACCAGAAGGTCGCGACGAATCCCGACTGCGGCGGCCACATTTCCACGGAGGTTGAATTCTAGAGGTTCGTGTGCTTGCGCGTAGGTGCACCCTTAAACAAACATTGGTGGTTGAAAAGGCTCGCGGTGTCAGCTATACGCACTTTCGTGCAACAGGCAGCGTCTTCCGAGGCTAGATAAAGGCTAGTCACTGCAATGGTCGACCGAATGTCAACAGTGGTAAGTCAGCATGAAAATCAGTCAGAAATCAATCCTTCCCATATCAGTCGTCACTAAACGACACATCCGAAAGCAGTGTATCACACCCGTGCTTTGAAAATATGCGCGAGAAGGCTATAAAATTTTTGAGAATCCCGAAGGGTAGGAATTGATGTGCCCGCTTAGTGATAGAAACGAGAGAGAGAGAGAGAGAGAGAAGAGATAGAGAGAGAGGGGGATAGAAGAGAGAGAGAGTATAAGAATAGAAGGCTGGGAGGTTAACCAGCGCTGAATTTGGTAGGCTGCCCTGTACTGAAGGAGGGAGAGAAGGTGAAGATAAGTTACAGTGGAGGAGAGAGAAATCACTGTTCCAGACGACGCAGAAGCTTCGCGATTGCTGTCACAAATGGTATCTTTGAGATAAAGCCCCAGCGCTTTCGTTGCCTTCCACAACTGTGATGAGCCACCCCATAGTCGCAGTATTTTCTCGACAGTGAAAGCACTTCCGCCCAGTTCATTTAGGGCAAAGCAGAAATGAAGCATCTTGTC